ATTAGTCTTTGAAAACTGATGCGTTCCAACTGCAACAAAAGAGGGAAACAAAAGTAAAAAATCTACAAGATGAAAATCACAAGGCAACAAGAAATCAACCAAGGCTCATATTACTATCAAGCCAATGAACAAATACTAAAATGAAGTAAAATAATACATACAGATATAGATTGCACATATATTTGTATATTATATCCAAAAAAATAAGAAATTTTGGAAGACTTAGTATATTTTGGTTCATGTAAATTTGGGAGGTGAGACTAATCGAGATTTCATTTCTAATTTCATCAGTTCTGTCAGGAACCTATCAGAACTCAGAAGTTAAGAGATCATTTTTTTTAAGAATTGGGCAAAGTTTGAAAAAAAGAGTCCCAATGATATCAATTGCAATGTCAATGAAAACCATTTGAGCAATGATTCTCCAATTTCAAGGCAACAGTGATATTCACCTCCAAGAACATGAATTCAAGAGAATATCTCCAGGGTTTGACTGAATTGAAATCCAACATTGCCCAAGGCAGATGGAATCCAAACCCTATGGACCCTATAAGAATATACATATATATATATATATATGTGTGTGTGTGTGTGAGTGTGTGCGTAGAAACAATGAAGGGGAGAGAGAGAGAGAGAGATATCGGCACCTGATTTGCTTTTCCGACGGGAGATCGCAGCAGGGGAGGAGAGAGATGACCCCCGGATCTTGCTTACAGTTACAGTGACGGGGGAAAGGAGTTTGCAAAGCCACCTAAGACGACGTCGCATGGACTTTTAATTTCCTTCCCCAAAATGACCTTGGTTAATAACAAAGACACAAAAGAATTTAGTTAGATTTATTTTAAGGGAAATTAACTGGGATTTTTTGTTTTTATGAGGGCTCGGAAAGTACGAGTTCATTTTACTATTGGAATTTCTATACACTTCATTGGGTATGCTAGAGATATGGAGTTATAAATTAGTATTTATAATTTGGGTTTTTGTTTAGTGCTAGGATCACTATATAGTGTAAGTGATTTGATTTTTGTGATGGTGTTTATTCCCGTTATGGTAGGTGTCCAAGGTTGAGAGTTGTGATGGTGGTAGTTGTAAGATAGTGGGTCATCAGGGTGGTCGCTGCAATGGTGGTAATCCTAGGTTGGTAGGACAATGATGGATTAGGAAAGAGGATAATAGCGCAGCAACCAAGCTGGGCAAAAGGTGACGGAAGATGGAAGGGCTGGCAGGTGACATCAACTGATGTTGATGGTAGTTGTTATGAAAATTTTATTTTCGTACACTATTTTATTTTTGTGCACATCATATTTTAGTTCACACACTTATTAATTTGGTTATCTATATACTATATATATATATATATATTAAGGAAAAGATGGTTTGAAACTTTAAGAACTTTAAGAGCTTCAAAACTCCAATGCAATTATATTGATTTTTGGTTATTTTTCAAAAAGAAAAAATATCATCAGCTACTAAAAATTAAAATTTAAAATGAGATTTTTATTGATAAGTCCAATTTAGAAGTGTTTTAATCCAATAAGTCCATGAAGGAATTTTTTAACCCATTTAGTCCCAATAGTTTTATTCCATAAAGTCCATTTTCTTGATTTACACTATTTTCTTGGATACTTATGCCCTTATATTAAATTTTGATACCTTTATAAATATTTTTTGAACGATTAGCAATTTAATGATGTGAACATTCAGATTTTTAAATTCACATTGGTAGGAATGTAAAACTGGCCCGTGGACGGCCCGAAATCCGCCCGCTAGCCGGGACGGGCCCGGCCCGTTGAAAATGTGAATATTCACATTGACATATTAACATTCACATTAATAGGAGTGTAAAATTGGTTCACGTCCCGTGGCGGCGTGAAACCCGCTCACGGCCATGAGCGGCCCGGGGCGGGGCCCGGTCCGGCCCATTGACAATGTGAATATTCACATTGACATGTTAACATTCACATTGATAAGAGTATAAAATTGGCCCGCGGCCCATGGGCGGCCAAAAGCTCGTCCGCGGTCCGGGGAGGGCCCGGCCCAACCCGTTGACAATGTGAATATTTACATTGACATGTTAACATTCACATTGATAGGAGTGTAAAATTAGCCCGCGTCTCGTGGCTGCCCGAAACCTGCCCACGGCCTGTGGGCGGCCCGGGGGGAGCCCGGCCCAGCCTGTTGACAATGTGAATATTCACATTGACATGTTAACATTCATATTGATAAGAGTATAAAATTGGCCAGCAGCCCAAGGCGGGCCCGACCCGGCCGGGCTCGTTGACAATGTGAATATTCACATTGACATGTTAACATTCACATTAATAGGAGTGTAAAATTGGCCCCCGTTCCGTGGTGGCGCGAAACCCGCCCATGGCCCATGGGCGGCCCGGGGCATTGACATTGACATGTTAACATTCACATTGATAAGAGTGTAAAATTGGCCCGCAGCCCGTGGGCGGCCCAAAGCCCGACTGAAGCCCGAGGCGGGCTTGGCCCGACCTGTGACAATGTGAATATTCACATTGACATGTTAACATTCACATTGATAAGGAGTGTAAAATTAGCCCGCGCCCCGTGGCTGCCCGAAACCCGCCCACGACCACGTTGGCGGCCGGGGCTGGCCCGGCCCAGCCTGTTACAATGTAAATATTCACATTAACATGTTAACATTCACAATTGATAAGAGTGTAAAATTGGCCCGTGACCCGGTGGGCAGCCTGAAGCCCAACCTCGAGCCGGGGCGGGCCCGGCCCGTTGGCAATGTGAATATTCACATTGACATGTTAACATTTACATTGATAGGAGTGTAAAATTAACCCGCAGCCCGTTTGCAGCACGAAGCCGGATCGCAGCCCGAGGCGGGCTTGGCCCGACCCGTGACAATGTGAATATTCACATTGACATGTTAACATTAACATTGATAAGAGTGTAAAATTTGTCCGCTGCCCGAAGCTCGCCCCGCGGCCTAGGGTATGCCCGGACCCAACAGCCCATGGAACGCGAGTCAATTTTACACTCTTATCAATGTGAATGTTAACATGTCAATGTGAATATTCACATTGTCAACAGACCGGGCCGGGCCCGCCTCGGGTCGCCCATGGGCCGTAGGCGGGTTTCGGACAGCCACGGGGCACGAGTTAATGTTACACTCTATCAATGTGAATGCTAACATGTCAATGTGAATATTCACGTTGTTAACGCGGCCGGGCCCGCCCCGCCCCGGGGCCGGGCTTCGGGCTGCCCACGGGTCACGGGCCAATTTTGCACTGTTATCAATGTTAATGTTAATATGTCAATGTGAATATTCACATTGTCAACGGGCCGGGCCGGGCTCGCCCTAGGCAGCGGGGCGGCCTTCGGGCCGCCACGGGCCACGAGCCAATTTTACACTCCTATCAATGTGAATGTTTAGATGTCAATGTGAATTTCACATTGTCAACGGGCTGGGCCAGGCTCTCCTCGGGCCACCCACGGGCTTCAGGCCGCCCATGGGACGCGAGTCAATTTTACACCGTTATCAATGTGAATGTTAACATGTCAATGTGAATATTCACATTGTCAACAGGCCGGACCGGGCCCGCCCTGGGCCGCCCACTGGCCGTGGGCTGGTTTCGGGCAGCCACGGGGCGCGGGCTAATTTTATACTCTTATTAATGTGAATGTTAACATGTCAATGTGAATATTCACATTATCAACGGGTCGGGCCGGCGCCGCCCAAGGCAGACCACGAGCCGCAGGCGGGTTTCGGGCCGGCCACAGGTCGCGGGCTAATTTTACACTCTTATCAATGTGAATGTTAACATATCAATGTGAATATTCACATTGTCAACGGGCCGGGCCCGGGCCGGCCCGGGCCCGGGTTTCGGCTGCCCACGGGTCACGGGCTAATTTTACACTCTTATCAATGTTAATGTTAAATTGTCAATGTGAATATTCATATTGTGAACGGGCCAGCCCGGGCTCGCCCCGGGCGGCGAGCTGGGTTTCGGGCCGGCCATAGCCGCGGGCCAATTTTATACTTCTATCAATGTGAATGTTAACTTGTCAATGTGAATATTCACATTATCAATGGGCCGGGTCGGGCCTATTTTTTTTGCCTGTGGGCCGGCCCGGCCCGACTCGAATTTTTCCGGGCACCCACGAGAATCGACATGGGCTGGGCCCCCTACACATTGACGATATGAAAATGTGAACATTCACATTGACAGTGTGAACATTCACATTAGGGGTATTTTGGTAATTATGTCACCCATAGGACTTATTGAAATATAAGAAAATAATGTGAACTAAATGGAACATAAGTAGATGAAAAGGGTATTTTGGTCTTCTTATCTCAAATTGGACCTAATGGAATAGTCAAAAAGAATATGGGTTGGATGGAATAAAACTCTTAGAAAATGGATTTATCAAAAAAGCTCCCATTTAAAATTATAGTCAACAAAGAATGATTAATGCTTGAGACTTCCAAAATGGGTGACCCCCATGATCCTTAATTGATTGGTGACCACTCATTATGTAATTTTTCCCCATTCTCTCTCTCTCTCTCTCTCTCCCCCTCTCCTCACAAAGAATTTATTGAATCCACCTATCATTTAGGGATTTAAATTTCAAATTACACATGATTTAAGGAATTATTTTCCATAATAAAAATATACTATATATTTTACCTAGCTAATTAATAGGAGTTTACTATAAAATAAATAAAATAAAAAATAAAAATGAAGAAGAAGCTTACAGAAGAAATATTTTCATATCTACCAGAATAAATATTCTTTACACATCTCTCTCTTTCAAAATGCTGATTGTTAAGATTTCATTGGTGTTTAAATTATTTTTTCTCTTTTTATTTTTTCCTTTCATTCAAGCTTAATCTCCACGTCTGTCCAGCCTCTGTTAGAAACGGAACAACAATGAACTAGACCCATATGTGAAGATGACCGTGGATGCCTCCTTCAAATTGTAAGATAACTACAAATAGTTGTTGGCCTCGGTGTTAAAATTATGTGTGAGATTTTTTACATATTTGTTATTTCTAAGTCATGTAATGAATCGATGTGCCATATATAATCTTTTAAATTGTCAATATTATATAATAAAAAAAAAATTAGAGTTTGTGATTGATTATAGCTCTATCATACAGATTATAAATAAAATAAAATAAAATAAAAATTGTATCTTTTATTGATTTTATATATGTAGTCCTTAAAAGTCAATAATTATATTTTTGATAATTTTTAGTTTCAATTATATTTCGTAAATATTTAATTTATCAATTAGTGTGTTTCGGAAATGTAGAGTATCTATATTTATATATATAATATTACCGAGCAAAAGAAACTTTTGAACTAAAAGATTCTAGGAATTTCAAGACATTAATTTAAATTTTTTAAAGTTAAGAAATACAAGTAACATACAATTATTGGTGAATTTAACCGTATCTATAATTTTAAATTTTGAAAAAATATTTATATATATAGAAAGTCATATAAATAAATTTAATCATAACTAAGCCACATCTAATTTGATATTTGAAAATCCTTAAAAGGAAATTCTAAATTTAAATTTAGTATTATATAATTTTTAGATTATAAAAATATTTAATTCAAAATATTATTCAATTTTTAATATTTGAAACTAAAAAATAAATATAATTTAAAACTATTGACTTATCTAACTATATCTAATTTTCAATTTCAAATTCAATAAAAAAAAAATGTACACAAAATGTCAAAAAATAATTTTGGCTATATTCTTTTGGATAGATAGTAATTTTTTAAGCTATTTCTAAACTATATTTAATTTTAAATTCAAAAAGAAAATCAAAGAGAATTTGAA